ACTGCTTAAGGGGACAGTGAATTATTTTAAGCCTGGTGGGCCCATGGCACTTCAGGCCATCAGAGCAGAGATGCAACACAGAGATGGCCTCATGATCGAGGGGTGGACTTAGCAATGGACACTATTGCCCAGGTTATTCACGAGTGTGAACACTGCACACAGTCTCTCCTGCTCTGGAAGACTGTTACAAGAGATGGAGCCTGACATCATGGACCAGATGGACTCAGCAGCTTTATAGGGACTGGTCCATGCACTAAGATAAGAGTGCACTGAGATAAGAGTGATGGTATATTGAAAATGTGGGATCTGAGCATGACGTGAATGGTATGGAATAAGGGGTGGATAATGTCCTGGGTTCAGCAGTAGCAGTCATTTTTCCCCTTCTTGGTAGCTGGTGCAGTGCAATGTTTTGACTTTCAGCTCGGGAACAGAGCTGATAACAAGCGATGTTTTGGTTTGGCCAAGGACTTTGTGAGCCTCATGCTCTGCCAGGGAGGAGGGGGAGCCAGGAGGAAGCAGAGACAGGACACCTGACCCAAACTGACCAAAGAGGTATTCCATACCACAGCACGTCATGCCCAGGAGGTAACTGGGAGTGAGCCGGAAGGGCTGGGAGACTGCGGGGTTGGAGGAGGTATCGGTCGGAGCTTGGTCGGGCTGAGGGGGGGCAAGTTATCGGTCGGCTGGTGCTGAGGTGTTGTATTCTCTTCCCTTGTTATTTCCTTTATCATTATTATCATTGGTGGTAGCAGTAGTGATTTGTGTTATACCTTAGTTACTAAACTGTTCTTATCTCAACCCATGGGAGTTGCATTCTTTTCGATTCTCCTCTCCGTCCCTCCGAGAGCAGGGGGAGGGCAAGAAAGGGGGGGAAGTGAGCAAACGAATTACCTGACTGGGTTTAAACCACGACACACCTTGAGGTGACGACAGGACTGAAAGAAAGGGCACATTTCAATTAGATATTGGAAAGAAGTTCTTCCCTGTGAGGGTGGTAAGGCCCTGGCACAGGGTGCCCAGAGAATTTGTGGCTGCTTCATCCCTGGAACTGTTTTAAGGACAGGCTGGATGGGCCTTTGCGCAACCTGCTCGAGTGGAATGTGTCCCTGCCTATGGCAGGGGGTTGGAACCAGATGATCTTTAAGGTCCCTTCCAACCCAAACCATTCTGTGATTCCATCACTGTACTAATGCTTAGCATGAGAGCTTATTAAATCCTAACCATCTCTTGTTCATCAATAAATTTTATACATTCTGTATACATTGGTTGCAGCATCTCTTTATGCACAGTGACAGTTGCTCAAAATGGCCAGAAATACCAAGGAACCCTGTGCAAGGAAATGAAGTTGCCTTTAAATCCTGCTGTGGTTTCTCAGATGTGTCCTGTTGTGAGTAAGGCTGCTGTTAGTCCTGGGCTGTTCTTGGGGACCACATTGGCAACCTTACTCTATGGCCTTCTCTGGGTGATTGTTAGGAAATTGTTAAGCATTAGCCTGTCTGTCTCCAAGCTGCATTGTGAAAACACCTGTATAAATGTTTGCTCTTCATCCATCTCCTCTTTTTCCTCCAAATACTTGCCTCTTTCTCCACGTGTGTGTTTCTCTCTTAATACTCTTCCAAGTCTCTAAATGTCACTCATTACTTATAATCACCGTTCTTTTAAGCAAGAGCCCAGAATCTCGCCCTCTCTTACAGAAGGACTGAGTTCATGCTTATGTCCTGACTTCATGACATTTACGTGGTTGAAATCTTGCCCATAGGCTTTGCTGTCCTGATCCCAGGTTGGTAAATCAAGCAATTAAAGTTGAAGAGATTGCAGATTAGTATTTAAAGATATGACATTTAAATTCAAATTACCACAAAATGACTGCAATTTTGGTATGAAAAAAAAAGCTATAAAATTGATGTATTAAACTCTGTAATTTTCTCTAAATTTTATGTTGAAACTGTATTTTCAATGATTTATGACGATACTTAATTTAATCATTCAGCATTTTCCAAAAGGTTTTGTATAAGCAAAGGATGCATCATTTCCCCAGGAGGCTGAATAGCTGTTAGAAGAAATAATTGCTTACATACTGCTCTATTCACATTTAGAGAAGTGTTCAAATTTCTGAAACAAATCAGAATTCAGAAATGGTTCAGATTTATCTATTTATTTTCCCCAAAACATTTATGCACTTGGGGCATAATTCCCAACATATACAATGTAAAATACAAACCATTATGCTAATGGTTAAGTCATTTAACTGGAGTAAAATAAGAAAATAGAGACGCTGGTATCAAGCAGCAGTGTAACTACCTGTCAAACCGGGAGCCAGACTTCATACTTGCTCCTTCCTGGCCAAGCACTTCTTACAGACAAGACCATAGGAAAGTTCTTTGTCCTGGTTTGGTCCTTCTGGTCACTACCTCTTGCAAAGCTGGCTGTGTTGCCCTTGTTGCTATTTACCCTATTTGGCAGTCAGAACAGCTATCTATAAAGTTGGTCACCTCAGGATACAGTGATTATGAAATCCAAGTTACCCCTCAATGGGCAAATGCTGTATACACTAGGCAATCTTGATAAACTGCCGGAATTTTGCCTCTTTCATGTTTTAAAAGGGAAAGAAAATTTCTCTAAATCACAGAAGGCTGTTTTTAATTATTTCTGGTATGTATCAGGGAGCTGAAAATTTGTCATTGTCTATTGGGTTTTGGTAGCAGGGGGCTACAGGGGTGGCTTCTATGAGAAGCTGCTAGAAGCTTCCCTCATGTCTGACAGAGCCAATGCCAGCCAGTTCCAAAATAGACCCACCACTGACCAAGGCTAAGCCCATTGGTGATAGTGGTAGTGCCTCTGGAATAACTTAAGAAGCAGCGGGGGAGGCAGGGTGGTGGGGAAAGCTGTGCAACAGCAACTGCAGCCAAAGAGAGGATACAGTATGCAAAAGCAACAGCTGCAGAGACCCAGGTCAGTGCAGGAGGCAGGAGGTGCTCCAGGCACCAGAGCAGAGATTCCCCTGCAGCCCATGGTGAGGCAGGCTGTGACCCTGCAGCACATGGGAGGTCCACGGTGGAGCAGATTCCACCTGCAGCCAAAGGAGGACCCCACACTGGAACAGGGGGAAGCCCAAAGGAGGCTGTTACCCTGTGGGAAGCCAGCTCTGGAGCAGGCTCCTGGAAGCAGCTGTGGTCCATGAAAAGAGGAGCCCACGTAGAGCAGATTCGCTGCAGCACTTGGGACTCCACAGGAGACCCACATAGGAGCAGCCTGCTCCTGAAGGGCTGCACCCCATGGAAGGGACCCACGCTGGAGCAGTTCATGAAGAACGGCAGCCTGCAGAAAGGACTCAATGCTGAAGAAGTCCCTGGAGAACTGTCTCCAATGGGAGGGACCCCACACTGGAGCAGGGGAAGGGTGGGAGGAGTCCTCCCCTGAGGAGGACACAGAGACAAGGTGTGAACTGACCACAACTCCCATTCCCCGTCCCCTGGCACCACTCAGTGGAGGGGTAGAGAAAATGTGAGTGAAGTTGAGCTGAGGAAGATGGGAGGGGTGAGGGTCTTTTAAGATTTGGTTTTATTTCTTATTATCCTACTCCAATTTTGATTGACAATAAATTAGTATTTCCCCAAGTTGAGTCTGTTTGTCCAGTGATGGTAACTCCTGAGTGATCTTCCCTGTCCTTACCTTGACCCATGAGCCTTTGGTTGTATTTTCTCTCCCGTGTTCAACTGAGGAGGGCAGCGGCAGAGTGGCTCTGGGGGCCACCTGGTGTCTAGCCAAGGTCAACCCACTCACATTCAAAAGAATCTCCGATATCCTTTCCCTTGGGCTACTTGTGTCCAGCTGGTTTGTGTCTTCTTCCTCTTACCTTTCTCAGATAAGTACTGGTTTGTTTCAGCCCTACTCTGAAGTGCTTCATCTCTCCATTTACCACTGGGAATACAGGCATCAGCAAGTTTAGGGTGCTGCAGCATAGAGTATCCAGGTTTGTCTTCATATGCAGCCCAGTTTCTCTGTAAACAAACAATATCAAGAGCAATTTTGGATTGTAGCAGTCAAATTTATTTGCACTGTAGAAGCACACTTGTTTCAGTAATAAAAAAATAACATTTTCTTTGCAGAATAAAAGTAATCCTGTAGTGGTATAAATATATTTACTTGCACAAGAATCCACATAAGTCACTCAACATATATTCAGATTTAGTATTCTCATAGTCCTAAGTTTCAAATGGAGTCAACAAAACATAGCACCTCACAGAAAGGTAAGAAATGTGAAATCTGGCTCAGCTGGGATTTAGACATGTATGAAATAACAGAAAACTTCATTTTTTTAATTATTAAATGACTACACTGCTTATGAAAAACAAAAAAATACTGACAGCCTTCAGCACTGACCACTTCCATCTGTCTAATTAAAGCATACTATATGGTGTCAGCCACAGAAGCTTCTTCTGGCTGCCTCACAGACATGATCTCAGTGCTGGCCAGGCAGAACTAACAAGAGCGTTCTGTCTCTTCACTCCCAAGACTCCCATCACTGGGTACTGTCTTTCAAGGAACAAAGCAGATTTAGCAATTTACTCCAGGGGGCCATCACAGACGTCAGGTAGCATGCCTCATCAGTCAGTGAGTCCCTGTGCTATACCAACCCAGGTGCCATGTTCCAGCCTGGTACAACCAACAGTCAGCTTACAGTAGGTATGGTTGATATGTAACTTTATCTAGTATAAGTACTTCATGCAAAAGGAAGAATACTGTTTTTTGCACTCCCATTTAGTTCAAGCCATGAACAACAGTAAACAAAACTGCAGTGAATTTATCTTGTACTTTAACTTTTTCATAATTCATGAACTCTTTTTCCAATTGTGAGGGTGGAAAAAAAACAAAATGGGGAAATTAATGAATCAATCGCATCACAACTCTGTTGTTGTGTCTAACTTGCACTTACTGTGTGGCGTATCATCAGCACCATGTCCTCACAACATATGCTGATTTGTTCTTATCCTTTCTTAACTGTTAGCACAGTGAAAAAAGTACAATGTTCAGCCTTGCTTCTTCTCAACACATCTATGAGAGGAGGATGGAGGACGCCAAACTAATACAACACAATACTGAAGACAAGAGAATATAACACTTATTCTGACACACTGAAAAGCAACTTCACACATAAGCTCATTTATATAGGCACACAGACATATTGAGCACCACTCTTTTTCCTTGCTTTTTTTCTTTTCCTTTCGTTTTCATTTTAACATCAACATTCGACTCTGAACAGAAGAATGTTTCACCTCTAGGACAATCTCAGTATTAAGAAAAAACTACCTCTATTTTACAAACATCAAAATGCTAACGTTGACACTTCCATTGAGAAGTTCACTGCAAGTGACCCTCTCTCTGAATTCGAAGGCGCTCCTTCTCCACTTGCAAGCGTTCCTTCTCAATCTGCAGCTTCTCTGACTCAAACTTTAGGAACTGCAGCCTCTCTTTCTCTAACTGCAAACGTTCTTTTTCAAGTTTTAACTTCTCAGTTTCTAGATCCAGTGGCTGCATGATGGGTTTTTCAGTTTGGGTGAGGTCATTTTCCAGGGCAGGTTTTTCAGCATTCAGTCTCTCTAGCCTGAGCTTCTCCCATTCGATCTGAAGCCGCTCCTTCTCAATCTGAAGTCTCTCACGCTCCACATCAACATGCCGCAACCGCTCTTTTTCTATTTGCAGGCGCTCCTTCTCCACTTGCAACCTTTCCGCTTCAATATCTAGTCGCTGCTTCTCCAGCTCCACCTTCTGCTTCTCCAGATTTATAAGCAAGTGAGAATCTTCATAGGCTAGCCTAGCTTGAACAGAGTTTAGACTTCCAAACTCTTCAATCTGGGGGAATTCTGGTAGGTCATTTTCCTTTTTTGAATCTGGCAAAACTGATGACAAAATTTCTTCTTCTTCCTCAATGGGAAACTGCAGAGAGGAATGCAATGGAGAAGAATTATATTACATCTTCATGCCAGAATAAATTTTTTTACGAACAACCGAAAAGAACACACTGTTTTTTTTCCATCTTTAAAGCTACTCAGAACTGTTTAACTCACATGCTGTGAAATAACCATATTAGATCAAATAAGAGTTTTCTACCTTTGTACAGGTAGAGAAACACACTGCAAGTTAATATCTGGTAATGAAAAACAGTGTATCAGTTTATTAGTGGGCATGCTAGAACATATAGAAAATACTTCACAACAGATACTACAGAGCATTCAGAACCACTGATAAAAAACTGGATCTAAAAATATGCATGTTGTTCTTACTTTTCATATAGCTGAATGGCATTTATGTAAGCCACTAGGAATTTGTTGTGACTAATTCCATTTCTAAAAAACATTTAACACAGCCATTTTTCACAGGCTCCTAACCCTCCCAACTGTATGTGGGTCAATAAACAGAACGTGTTTAACCAATTTTGTATTATCACATTTACTGTAAAGCTATTTATGATGCAGGTGACGTGGTAAGGACCACTGGTTGACTTGGCAGACTGTAACAACTCGTGCAGAATTATAGCCTTCATGTACTACAGATTCATAGTACACAAGGAATTATTGTCTCCACGAAAGATGTCGCAAAAAAAGGGTAAACTGATGAAGATAGTTCAGAAAATCTTAAGACAATGAGAGGTGCAGCCAGTCCTCTAGCATTACAGCAGACACTGTTTTTCAGCAGTTGTCAGTCAGTAGTCTCACTACCATTTAACAGCTTACGCTGGTTTCTTCCCAGCACACATCTCAACTGAGCTGACAGAAGTTGCTATTTCCCACCTCCTGTCATGTTGTGTCCATGTCATGTCCCTGCCACCCCCAAACCCCAATTTTCCCAACAACAAAACCCAGACTCCTTGGGCACCACTTTTCCAAGTGAGACCCACATATTTGTACAGGTACAACAAAACTACCCAAACATTTGACTTCACTCTAGCTGGTTGCCTATCTCAGGATGATGATACTACTAGAAGTAACAACTTGTCTATATGATCCACAGCTGGTTGCCAAGTTCACACTAAAATCTGTCAGGGAGGAATGGATGACTGACATATTCAAGGAATGTTTTAATCTCCTGTGGGTTCACTTTTAAAAATGCAAACAGTATCCTATTTCTTTCTGTATGCTATTTCTTTCTGTACCTGAAGATATCATATACTTTCATTTGTTAAACAGGTGCATTTCTCTTCTCTGTTCACCCATCCAGACAGCCTAAGTATTAAAATAACCAGTTTCCTTCAACAACATGTTTTCATTCTATTGACTTAACTAATTCTTATCTATGGCACATACAAATGGAAAATATTCAAAGTTGAGGTATATCAATTTAATAATCAATATGTAAGAGCTTACACACAATTGCAAGTTGCTAGACTTGAATACCATCTCTCTGAAACATATTTGTTTCTACAGTTTCTTTAATTCACACATTCAGAAAAAACAGGAACAAATGCTTGAAGAAACACAGCAAAAAGCCTTCTGCTGAAATGAAATGAAGGCCATATTGCATACAGCTAATATATGTCAGTCACTCACTTCAAAATTCTGCGGATCCTCCTCTTCCTCTTCTACTTTGATTTCTGTTAAAGATCCACCGGCTTCTCTGAAGTCAGTGATATTTTGCCATTCAAAACTAGATTCAATTGCAAATCCCATTTTCTCATCCATGTCTTCATTGAGAGAGTCATCTAAATTGGATGAAGGAAGGTGAAACCCAGCACCTACTACTTTGATGTTTGCATTCAGACGTTTTCTCTTCATGAGTGCTCTCCAGTCAAGGTATCTCCTTTTCACTTCTGTCCCTGTTCTTTGCTCTCCTTCACCTACAGCATTTACACACTCTGCTATATCCTCCCAAGCTTTTCGTTTCAACTCATTAATTGTTGTATTAAGTTGCTTTGAAAAGAGTACTTCTCTCCTTTTCCTTATTTCCTTAAGGAGTGTTTGAGTTTCCTGAACACTAAAATTGCTTTTCCTTTTTCTTTTTAATTGTTTCATTTTTTCCAGCTTTAACCTAATAATTTCACCACAGTAGACTACAGAGATGATCTGACACTAATCAGTTATTAATATAAATAAAATTTAAAAGCCAATCAAAGCAGAGCTCAGTTCTCATGAAGTGAATTTTCTCTTCACTTTGTAGTATTTTCCTATTTGTCAGGCTTCCTAAGAGAAAAAGAGCAAACAATATAAATCTCCAAAGTATACACTGTATATCTTCATTTAATGAACTTGACCCCTAAGTCACCATTTAAAGCATGCATATTTCAAACGGATCATTCATTCAACAGAAGCAAACCATTCTGATAAATTGTGGATATAAAGTAGCTATAGATACCTTCTGTAATCTCTGATGAATTATAAATCCATTAATATATCCATGTACCAAACCCTTAAGGTTGAGCTGATACTTTCATTACAAAAATACAGCTATTTTCCTTCAACTCTTACAGTTTTGCCAGTCAGGATTAGCTTAATGCTGAAATTTGACATACACATTTCAGTTTGAATGCTAAATTATTTCCAAACTAAGCTGAAATTGTTGTATTATTAGTTCAGAAACATGAAACGTTATGAGGACTGAAATTTCCAAGATACATTTTAAATAAGACACCATTTCCATGAAAAAAAAAAAAAGAAAAAAAAAGTAGATTAATATGAAGAGATGTTCTGAAGACTCTTCTAACTGTTCTTAATCACAAAAAAAGAACTGGAGCAATTCTGCTAAGTGTCAGAAAATAACTACTAGTTCAAACAAATGTCATCCATTAGAGAAACAGATTTAGGAATAAGTTACTCAACGTTCATGGCAAAGCCCTCCTGTACCCTTCTCACACTGCGGAACACCTCATGTCAGATGTGATGGCAAGTTGAAAGTTCTTCCAGTCCTCTACCCCCAGCAATAGCTGGCACTATGCCTGATGCTGAAGAGAAAGCTAAACCCCATAATGATCCAATTTTGCATTTATTTTGCACTTTCTTTTGTAAAACATTACCTGCCACTTTAGGTAGGTTTAAAAGGCTTTAAACAAAGTAGGCCAACCATTCGCTATACAGTACTTAAAGTTTCAAGCTGCTGTATTTGTTCACAAATTAATCTAGTACAGACTTTTTGTCCACCTGAAGCAAATTGCTTGGGTATTACATACTCAATTGCTACTGACTAATGGACTTAATCCTTAACTCCTCCTCAGCTATACAGAATTCTTAAATTACTAAATATTTTTTTCTCCTGATATTCTCCCAAACTTGGTTAAAACACACACATCAGCTAATTACATAAAACCTCTTCATTTGGGGGATAATGCACATCATAGTTTAGACATAGTTCTTGATCTCCAATGTGCTATTGACTATAAATGTCTCACTTGCAAAGTTTCGCACATCATGCAACATTCTTTCACACGTAACGCATAAGCATGTTGGCATTACGTATTTTTAAAAAGTTGTGTTCAGGAAATGGTTTCACTACTTTTCCATGTTAAAATACTGCCCTCACTGTAAATCCATTTACTTCTGATGGATACCATCTTGCTAATTTGCATAACCTAATCCCAAAATGTCAACTGCATAAAGCGTGGAATGAGCTTGTAACAGCATGGACCACTCTACATGCTCACGTGCACTTTTTTGACTCCTCAATACAAGTTGGAAGCTGGATGTTGATGTTTAAGATGGATGAAATTTCCTGCCCCTCTGAAAATAAAATAACAATTAGTCTTGAGAAGAAGGAATTATTAAAAAAAAAATAAAAATAACCTACTGTTGTAATGTAGACCCTTGGCATGACCAGAACTGAGAAAAACAGCTGCTGTTTAATAAATCAGATTTATGCCAGAACACAGCACTGTAGTTGCTGGAATTAACACCAGATTTTTGTGAGACCTTTAATCTAATCTTTTTGTGTCTCCCTTAACCTCCATTATGATAAGTTTACCACAAAAAAAGATACTTGGTTTTTCAAGGAAGCAGCATCATATTTACTCACCTGGCAGTAAATCAACTTATTTGGTACTTGTTGTTCTTTTCAAATGCAAATACAGCATTAGTGATTTTCTACTATTGCAGAAACTGAATTTCTTGATCTGTGTATCAATTACTTCTTTTTTTAAAAAAGCAGGTAAATTCTTTGAAGAAGTTACCTGCACACAGAATGAATTGAGGGCCCTTTCAGAAGCTTCACTGTTAATAAGGCAATTATTCTGGACTGACAAATGCATAGATTTAAGCCATGATTCCTGGTTACTGGGGAATGAACAAGTATTAACCAGGTCAATGACTCTGATCTTCACCACAACTTTAGAAACACACATATTTGCACCCACTTGTTTTCAAGGTGGGGAGTGTGTGTGAAAGAGTCAGAGGTATTCACTTTGAGTTTGTCTTCCAGGTGGAAGAATTACATAGAGTTCTTGCACATAAGTTTCAGAAAAATTACAGTATTTTTGACTTGTCGCTACCAAGACACTGACCTTCTGTTTATAAGGTCACACTTATTTTTACTTGAAATCAGTAGCATTTCATATTTGATTTCAAGCCATGTACTTAAGTGAATATTCAAGTAATATTGAAAAATGAGTAAGACTTTCCAAAGTACTTGCCAGTTGGATATATCAAACTCTAGAAAGTACTAGTAGATACTTAATTGTCTCTTAAGGTACCTAAATGTCAGACTTTTGTTGAATCACAGCCATTTTCAGCTCAAGATATACACTGGCTAAGTCCTTCACCTAGCCCCTGCTGGGATTAACAAGGCTCTGGTCATTCCCCAGGAACAGGGAACTACAGCATTTTAGAGACCTTTATCTCTATTTGGCCTGGCCCACCCTGAATCTCACAGTGCTAACACAGCAGGATAAAGTGGGCACAAACACAGAACAAAGTGTTTTCAAATAAAACTTTTGAGAACACTGTTTTCTAAATACAATTCTGCACGAATGCAGGAGACCCAGCCAGCCAAGGTTTTACCTTGGCTCCAAAGAAGGTTCAGAGTTAAACCACATAAATGTCAGGTCACCCTGCGGGTCAGCCTCGCTGCTCCTTGTGCAGGTGTTGTGCATCACCTGTCCGATTTACCCAGGCTCTCTTTGTGAGGTGCCTAATCATGGGTTTGGATTTTATGCCATAAGCCAAGCACATAACCTTTGAAGAATTATAATGCTAACTTGGAAACTACTGGAGTCCAGTTCCTTTTTTATGTGAAGTTTTGACTTCCTTTTTTTTTTCCCCCTAGAACATGTTTAATATAAGCCTCTGAACTTCCCAGTAAAAGGGCAGCAAAATCTCCTTATTTTAAAATTTATGAGTAACTTCTAATTGGTAAGGACATCTTACCTTTTCTAATTCTTTCTTTTTTGAAAGCATATTGCTTCATTAAAGACAATTCCTTTCTTATTAACACAAGCGGGTGGTAATGAATTATCTTAACAGTATATTGACTGTTAGATCAACTCCACTATGGGACTGTTTGCCTTTCTAATAGGCATAATGAAAAGCATTATTACCTAACTAAGGCAGAGGTTTCCAGTACTCAGTTTTCTGACATTGCTAGATGTCTCCAGGATATTACTCCTTACATGTGCGAAGTATATAAGTGGACAGGAATAGTAATAAGTGAGAATTTGTACACATTCTAGCTAAATTACAGAAAAAAACCTCAATCTAAACCCCAAAACAACAAAAAATATTACCATTTCTAAAGATGTGATTTAAAAAACATGACATAGAGCAGTGTTCTGAACTTGGCTGGGATAGAGTTAATTTTCTTCCTAGTAGATGGTACAATGCTGTGTTTTGGATTGAGTTTGAGAATAATGCTGATAACACACTGATGCCTTTACTAAGTCAAGGACTTTTCAGTCTCTCATGCTCTGCCAGTGAAGAGAAGGCACAAGAAGCCAGGAGGAAGCAGAGACAGGACATCTGACCCAAACTGGCCAAAGGGGTATTCCATACCACAGCACTTCACACCCAGTATATAAACTGAGGGGAGTCACCCGATGGGCAGATCATTGGTCAGGTCGGTCTGGGTATCACTCACTGGTTGGTGAGCAACTGTATTGTGCATCATTTGTTTTATTCATCTCCCTCTTTTTGTTATTTCCCTTTCCATTATTCCCCCCCCCCCACCTTTTCAATTATTAAACAGTTCTGATCTCAACCACAGATTTTACCTTTTTCCGATTCTCCTCCCCAACCCACCAGGGGGAGTAAGCAAGCAGCTGAATGGTACTCAGCTGCAGGTTAAAACATGACAGCACATTCAAGTCTTGCTTTGATATGAAGTCTAAAACATGAAATGCATACAGCTGGGAAAAAAAAAAAAAAAAACAACAAACCCACCAAAAAAACAACACAGCAGACAGACATTACAGGTTTTTTCTGAAATCAGAATCATAACTGCTGTACAGTTTAGTGTCTTTAGCAGAAGATTCCACAGCAAATATCTGCCGAGAACACCAACTGGAAAGATGGGCAGTTCACTCAGAAAAAGTATGTGGAGATCAGAGCAGAGATTAAAAAAAAAAAAAAATAAATCTTCACTATGAAAGCAAGCAAGAGAAGACATCCACAAGAAAAAAAAATCCTTCTCAACTATAGAACCAAAATTACTTCTGGTACACAACCAAAGATATCAATCACCTGACAAGGAAAAGTTACAGTTTGGTCAAGTGAGAAAGAAATCCATGGGAAATAACAGGATGCAAACAGGCCATTACATGAGATACAAAGTGCTGGCAAGGAAAACAGAAACAATTTTGGTCATGTGATAACAAAGATTTAAAGGGTCTTCCAGGAAAGATAGCAACATGCAGCTATGAGCTTATCTGCCAGGCCAGAAGCAATCTGTGGCCAAGAAAGTCCTCACCACTGAAGAAACACAAACTATTTATCATCATTGAAACAAAACAAGTGTTGCAGAACTGAACAGAACACTCCATAAAGAACACACATATACACTGAACAGCTTTGATGTACTTAATGACACAGGGATCCACGTTCTGCCTCTGTGTCTTTTTGTACGACCACATGCTGGACCAACAAACACCATCAAACTAACCAAACCAACACAAACCAAGCAAGTAAACAAACAAATCCATGCATTCACCAAGATTAAATGTTGCTAGCATTAAACTGGAATTATTCTCTAGAAAAATCACAACTTTTGTATTTCAGAAGCATGTCTTGATGGTTTACCTTTTTCTTTAAAAGGCCCCAAAACCTCTTCAAAAAAGCCCACCAAACCTTTTGAAGCTTATGATTGATGAGCAAAAACTTCAAAACAGGAGGACCTGTTACCTCTATTTCTCTTAAATGAAAACTGAGATTCGGATGACCTCTGCATGATACTAAAGCTTACGGCTTTCTGGAAAACTTTGATTCATGATGGATGACTACTTGACTTGGAACAACTTCTGCTTTTGTACTAAGAGAGGCTTTAGTACAGGAGGATCTGGGTGCTGCCGAGCACGCCACTCCATGGACAGTCCTTTCTCCAAAAATCTTGCGGTTTGAGAACAAAAAAAGCCAAGCGCTAAAGGGAACAAACAACACCTAAAGGGTAATTTAACGAAGCAAAGAGAAGGTACCGAGGATGGAAAGCCGTTCCGGAGTCAGGCTGGTCAATCCACAGATTAATCAGTCTGAAGTGAGGAGAGATGAGTGCGGCACAACCCCCGGCGGCCCACCCAGGCGGGTCCCGCCAGGAGGCGCACAAAGCCCCGCTGCGGAACGGCGAATGCAACAAAAGAACGGCGAGGGCTCGGCGGGAGGTCCCCCCGCACACCCCCGACCCTGCCCCGCCCCGGAGAACCGGGTGGACCGCGCCCCACCCCCGGCCTGCAGACCAGGTCCTCCTCAGCAAGTGACTCGCGGGCGGCCTCCGCCTCTCTCGGAACGAGGAGGAAGACCTCCCCGCGGGGATGCAGAAAACGGCGGGCAACCGTATCACCGCCCCCTGGGCCGAGGGTGGCGGAAACCACCGTTCTCACTACAAAGAGGCCGGGGACTGCCTGAACGCGGGCAGCGGCTTCATGGAAGAAACCAGCGCCTCAGCCCCACCACAGAACAGACCGCATTCAGGTCCCCGGGGAGCCGCACGGACTACTCACCTGCACCCAACTCTCCCCTGCGGGTCACCGAGCCTTTAAAAGCCACCGCCCTCCCATTGGGAGAGCAAGCTGCCTGTCAACCCTTTCCCCACGCCTATTGGCGATCCGCCGCCGCCCCTTTTCCCCCGCCCCGCCCCTCGCCGCCCCGCCGCGCCAGGCGGGCCGGAATCCCCCACATAGACTGGGGGCGCAGCAACTCCTCTCCCCGCGGGGCCGGTGCCGCGCGGAACCCCTAGCTAGCATTGGCTACAGTGGCTGCTTGTCCTCCTGACGCCTGCAGGTGATTGGCTACTGCCTGTCAGGGGCCGCCTCTCCGCTCAATGAGCTTCCGGCGGCGGGGATGTCGCCGGGTTACGGTAGAGCCAGATGGGGTGGTTCTGGTGGTGCCGCCACGCCTGCAGTGTTTGTGGGGGGTACCTGGTGGCGGTGGAAAGGGTTAGCTCTGTCTGTGGAGGGCTGTAAGGGAGCGGGGAGCTACGCGTCCCGGTGCTCCCCTTCTGGTGTGCCTATAGGCCCGAGTTTGGCCAGTGGGCTTTTCTACAGCCGCGCAGGAGCGAGCAGAACTCCGGAGCCGGTGTGGCCTGCTGGCCTGTGGTGGCTGAGCTAACGCATAGCAGTATGCATTGTTTCCCAAACTGCGTGGTTTGACTGTACGATGGGGCTTGTGATTAAAAGTGTGAAATAACGTTTGTGGTGATGCTGTAATAAAAATAATAATAATTAAAAAAAAAATCATTATCTTCGTGAAAGTGCTGCCTGTGTAAGCCACCGTGTCATTAATGTAACTAATACACATGCCAAGCAGTTTTGTGGAGCCTTCGGGTCTTGGGCTCTTCCTTTTTGTCTCAGACATACGGGAAGTGTCTGACAAATACTCTGTATTGCATCCTGTTGCCCTGGTGACGTACCCTTTGTGCAGGCTTAAGGCAGTGCCTGCAGGTAGATAGTTCAAATTCGAATACTTCTTCCCCCTGAAGTTTGCTACCTCTATTGTGTCTAACCTCATACACGTATGTATTATTTTGCATATTTATTAAATACTTGCTCAGTCCTTTTAAAGCACTATTTAGACTGAAGCATTTTCACTGGACAGATAGGTTGATTAATACAGCTTCTGGTGACCAAAATTGTGATGATAAAACCACAAATCTGCTTTAAAATGGTATTTTCCAGTTTGAGCCAACAATTCTTGTAGTGAACTTCCTGAAAACATTTATAGCTGCTAAATGTGGAAAGGCTATGAATTTATTACTTACAGGGAGTGACTGTTTTGTTACTACTCTTGCCTATTCTGCACTGAATATCATAAAAATTTCGAAAGGAAAAATGTAAGAAGTAGGGTAGCAAGACTGTGCCGCATTGCTGGCAATATATTATACAGGCATATTCTTTACTAAGTCACATGTATGAACAAGGCTTCAATTTACCTTACTACCAGTATTGTGACAGTGCTCAGAAATAAGATGCAAGTGTGCCACAAAGGTTTTGCAGGCTAGTTCAAACTAGGTTCAGGTGCAAGTAGGTAGAAAAATGATGGAGAGTGAAAGTCATCAACACTCTGAACCTTTTCCAGTCTGCAAAATTAACTAGTGCTAATTATACTCATTGAATATCCTTCCTTTATTGTGAAGTACAAAACCACACAATATGATTGGTGTTCATTAGGATAATTTGAACTAGGAAGCATATGATGTGAAGCATCTTGGTATATACCAGCTTCCTCCAACAAAACTCCTTGGAACTCCTTCATTTATGTGAACTGTCTTGAATTTATGTGTAATCAATGTGTATTTTATTCAGTAAATACAGACTCTGCTTCCTTGCTTTTGATGACAAAAAAGCCCCACTATATGGTGTGCTTCAGGTACAAAATCTGCAAGTCCGTGGTGAATTACCTGGATCTGTATAACATACATATGCAATTTTCTTCTGATTTTGCACAGGGTTACATAGCCACAGCTCTCAAATTTGGTCCATGAATCCCTTCATTGTTCAGTATAAGATTTTAACATTGTGAACACTGTTGGAACGCTTTGTACATGTCTCCAAATGGCTTTTGCTAGCTGTGAGACTGTTCTGGGTTCAGTCTTGGAGTGTTGGAAGGTTAATTTTTATTGCCATAACTCTGTTGTATCTATATAGAGGTTTGAAGGTCACAGAATTTTAACTTCTGGAAGAACACAAGACAACACAGGGCTGCGTTAGTTTGTATTAATGCCATTTCTGCACCCTTTACACACAAATTTTAGACTAACTAACTCATATATCCTTTTATTTAAAGCCACTTCTAGGTAGTAGTTCAGTAATAAATAAATACGTAATCATTTGCAAGCCTTAAACTGTTACTAAAACCCTCTGTATATCAATCTGAGCTAGAGGATTCAATTAAAAAAATACCAATTTGAATGAGTACTTTATAATAATAAACTTACAACTTTTCAGCAGACTAAATAAAATTGAATATGGGAGCGGCAAATTGATATACAAAGGCTATACAAATACAGGGTCCAGGGATAACAGAAAAAAAACCTCCCTCTGCAATGTTCATGCATGCTAACTGCATTCTTGGTTATAATCTAACATTCAAAATGTTCTCCACTTGTAAAAAGAAATAAAAACCAAGTAGTTAACCCCACTGGAAGCATAGTAGGTTCACTGTATTTTGAAACTGACAAAAAAAAAAAAGAAATAAAAGTCAAACCTGAGAAGGAATCAGTTGCTTCAGTGCTTTTATTTCACAAAAGAATGAACATCTCGGCAAACATGTAGCATTGTACTTTCCACATATCAGCAGAGCCCGGGCAGCAGCAACATGTTACTGATCTCTACACTTTATTGGTTGTTAAAAGGGAAAAAATGTAAATTGAGCATAATGTTCTGCTATAGTCAAATACATCCCCAGTTTCAGCCTGTTTTAATTAAAATAGATCATATGCTGCCTCCTGTTGGTCACCTACAGACAGAAACATCTAAAATTAGACTCCACATTATGAACTTGCATACAGCACATTCTATAGCCTCTATCTTTCCTACTATCTACTACTAATCAGAGGAGATATACAGCTTTCTTCATGGAGTAATACCAGAAATAAACCTGACCCAGTAAATCTACTCCATTTTGTGAATATAATGAATTTTTAACTGCAGTAAACTGATTTACTACTACAGATGTATTTAGAATATAGAAAATAAATACATTAATAAATAATAGAGTATCAGGTCTGTGCAAACATAATCAGTATAAACACCTGAATAATTGATATTTATTGTAACAACTAAACCAGTGTGATAACATTACCAAAGTGCCATAATTTCATAGCATTCTTTAAAAATTAAGATTATCCAATATAATCATTACTGGATATTAAAATACCACATACAGTATATATTATCTTCATGTATATTATACTGGTCATGCTTATAATGTGTCCTGTGACATAGAATACTATTAGAAATGTTTTGGTTACATCATTTAAGTGCAAATAGTGGATTATAACTTTGCATGCAATTTGTATGTTTTAAACATCTAACTATATTTCAGTGAGAATATAGGTAATCATTAACCTAGTCCTGGACTATTTTTAGAGGAAGATACCTTTTCATAAAATAATGTGAGCTCTGAAAAGTCAAAAAAGATGTAGAAAAACTTGCTTTGCACTAATTTTGTGACATTTTTGAAACTGCATAACACCTGTGTAGACTGGAAAATCTATCTGATCCAGACTTATAGCAGTTACCTATTGCAAGTAATCCATATTCTTCTGAGTAGTGTAGTTGACTTTGCTGAGATTTCTCACATCATTAGCAATTAATCACAGAATTTGGAACATAGGCCCTTAATTCTATCACAAAGCCTTGTTTTTAAACATGACTTTCTAACACAGCTTCTTCTGCATTCTGTACTGCTATGAGATTTAACTCTATGTAGAATTGTGGCAAAATGACCTTTTTTTCCTCTGGGAGAGTTGTAATACAGGCTTACCTACGTAACTGAAGAAAATTAGTACTATTTCACAGTAACTTTTCTGTAAGCAACTGTATAAAGTGACTGACACTACAGCGTTATTTCCTGATTACTAAGTAAGAGAGGTCAACTCCATTTGAAATCCATGAACAATTTGTCAAACTGGGAACTGACTTTAGTTCCTGTGCAAATATAGCATAGGATATTAAAGAAGCATGCCTATTTTCCAAAGTAAGCTTCATTTATTTTTCACTATATATACAAATAATGAGTAATTTACCACATACGTCATAAATCTGTCTGATGTCATGTGCCAGAGGCTTCTATACATAGCAACTGTAGCTGGAAGACTGCCAGAAAAAAAAAATAGCTCTAAGGAAAAACTTACTGGAAAGAGCATCACCTGAATTTCTGACTGATTTGTTGTTTATGTGGCCCAGCAATTTGGTCATGATAATGGCAATTAAAAAAACGTCAATTCTCTTGCCTCTCCAACTTGCATAGCTATTTATACCCCTGTGCTATGGGCACAACATGTTACTATTGCATAAATTGTATACTCCTACTACTCAGGTCTAAAAACAACACAAAAACACAAGCAAAGAATTCGGCCTTGTACTGCAATGAAGTGACATGTTGCAATAATTAATAGTTAATGAAGTTTCTGCTGCTTTGAGTAGCTTTATTAATGCTGAAACCATTTTCCTGTAGGTCTGTTTTTCTCCTACTGTTTCAGCATATTCTCCATCTCTCCTATACTATTCAATACATTTTCTTTGTAGTAACAAAAAGTAGTTGTGCTCCAATATAAAAAAAAAATAAAAATTGCATTTCAGTATGGTGATTGTAAAGGTTACTTGGCTAACTGTAGTTATGATTTGGAAATTCACTATGAAAAGAGGAAAATAAATGTGGAAGTTGCCTGAAATACTGTAACAACAAGCTATTCTTTTCTATAGAACTGACACATATCTTAATACAAATAAATTATTGAGTGGGAGGACTCTATTAATATGTTCTCCAAATGTGCATCCTTTTCATTTTCATCCTTACAAAAATATTTACAGTGAACGTTTTCTAAATTTATCTGATAATAAATTATAATCTATCACAGAACTGGAACTTTCCGTTGTTTACCTTTTAAAACAGAGGTATATTGCTAGGCAGTATAGAGCTTTAAGCATTAATATTGAGCTTGAGTTTTGCAAAAAGTACATGAAGCAGTGATGTGATGATGAATTTACCATGGTCATCTCAAACCGCATGAAAGATGTTTTAGATGCCTCACTAGATTTTGTTAATTTTTAAACTGCTTGGAAAAGATATGCTTAGATATTTAGAACTACTCTGTTGGAATAAGATTACCTTACTGCTTAAACAGTACTTATATGAAATATAATGGCTCCCAATATCTTATTCAAATAGCTGGTAAGAAAGAAAATTCTCAGGCTGTGGAGATTACAGATGAATTGAAGAAACCTAGCTAATTTCAGTGTCCTCCTGTCAGACAGAGGTCCCACTCTGTATGCAAATTTACTTCACACTGTATGCCTACACTAATATTAATCCTAAAAGTCCATTACTATTTTAACACTATAATAGATGAGTACTGAAGGTTTATCAAGCAATATATTGTGTAGTGTTTACCAACTATTATTTTAACACTTAAATTTGCCATGGAGTACAAGATAAAATATTTTGATTCAACCACTATAGAAGTTAAAAATGAATTTAAAAAAAAAAAAAAAAAAAAAGAACTATTTCACCTCAGAAATACTATTTACTTTGTCTTTAAATATGGGGATTTTTCTTTGGTAACTTTGTATTTGACGTATCACAAGATACAAACTTTTCCCATAGGTAACCAAAGCAACCAACTGAAGTTTAGATACAGCTTGCTGCTGTAAGCAGCATAGTGGCTGCTTAGTAGCTAGCACTGGGGACTTCAGAGATGGAAGACTGCTGTTAGAAAATATCCTGAAGTGTTTTTTCTTTACTTAACAGCATGACTGAAGCAAAGATACCACATGAATCATCCATCCTGTAGAAATCTTGCTCACTGTGCAGTATGTTATCAAAGTTTATCTCGCCACACTTGATGAGATGAAAACAGAAACTACAGCTACTACTAAGGCACAAGGATGGAGAAAAAGTGGTAAAACCGAAGAGCTGAAGTAAAATGACAGGAATTATCAGTCTCTTCAAGTTAGATACCTGGGTTTAATGCTGTGAAGGTCACTTTGGCTCTTGACCTTGCTAAGGCCATTCTAATAAGATAAAGCTGACAATGACTTCCTGAATATGAATATATTCATGAATATAAAACCTCTAACTAAAACACCACTAATGTAAATTTCTTTTATACTTCAGTTACATAGGGAAAACAGTATCACAGTCAGTTTTCTCACTCAGCAATTTGTCTACTGGGACAACTGTGAATATTACAGAAATAATGGTACATATTACAGAATGAATTCCTCATGACTATGCTTTTTTGAAAAGTAATATAATTTTGCAAATTATTCAGATAATTACAGGGAAGACTTGCATATAAAATTAATACTTTCTATATATTGACTAGCATGAATGACAATGGACTCTTCCAAAAGCAATTCTACAGCATACACTTTAAACTGAAGATTGAAATAAAATAGTACATATTTTTCCATCTGTAAATTAATACCTAAAAATCTGTTCTAAAACTTGTCCATTTAAATAGATTCTTTTGACTCAGGAGTTTCAAAATTCTCCAGAGCAAATTGTTAATACTGATGACCAGGGGTCCCTGTATTTATTAAACTGAATGACCTGACAGTAAAACTCAGTTAAGGCTCTTGGCATTGGTGAAACTTCTTCCCACTCAGACCTACTACTATGGTAGACTTGAACTTCATCTGTGATTTCTTCTGGAGCATAATCACCACCTAATATGTAAATTTTGTCTTCTGTCCCAACTGCTCCTGCATTAAAGCCAGCACATTCAAAAGATCCTTCCCCTTTCCAAACACAGGTTTCTGGGCAAAAGCTGTAGACCTTGTAGGTGGAGAGATCACATATGTACAATGTACAGTTTACTGGAACGGCTTTGATTAGAGTTGCATGGAAAAACTGCCCAAATTCTGCTACAAGCTCAGACCACTGATCAGTCATAGCATTATACTTAAAGAAACAGTCAAGAGATGGATTGAAGGCATCAGTAATCTCTACTTCTGAGCCAAGGACGTAAATGACATTCTGACATGCGCTTGCTTCTGGATAGTAGATACCTCTTGGTAACTGGCTTACAGATTTCCAGTCTTTGGAAAGAGGGTTATATGATTCTACATCCAAAAGGCTTCGGGTTTCTTGAGCTCCCCTGGTCTTTCCACCTATTACAAACAGCTGATTTAAGGTTACAACAGATGTGTGCATTGTCCTTGGTTTTTTCATAGCTGACACTATGGAGAACTCATTACTGACTGGGCAGTAGCACCAGGTTTGGTCAGTGGCATCATGAAATGGTTCAGCAATATGAAGCCTGACAGTCCTATAACAATTCCCTTTGCATCCTCCAGTTATAAATATTTTTTCTCCGTAACTAGATAAGCTTGACCCTGGAAGGTCAATCATGTGAGTATGCGGTAGTTCTTTCCACTTATCTGTTTTGATGTTGTAGCAGAATGTATGTCTGTTTTCTCCATCTTCATCAGTTTTATGAACAAATATGTATTTTTCTGTTGTTGAAGGACGTGCATCTGGAAACAGTCCGCTAAAGTTTTGCACACTTTTAACTGCATCACTGATTATTACTGAGCAATTAGCACTCTTAAGTAAGTGTTCTTCAGAGTGTAGAAAGTCCTGCAAAGTCTTTTCAGGTAACTGGTGCAGTCTCACTTTTTTAATCAGATTAGGCAGATATTTCTGTCGTGTTTCAATGTTGTGTTTGGTCCACTGAAGGACAGCTTTCAATACTGATTCTTCCTCTGGGACATTTAGTTCATCAGCCTCGAGACATTTTTGTAGAATCTCAAAATTCATCTCCAAAAAATCACTTGATCTAAGCAGCAAGGAAAAGTGGTGCTGTACAAAATCTAGTGCATGATCAAATAAGCGGACGGAACCATAACTTTCTGATAGAGAAAGCAACTGTAAGCAATTCACAAGATCAGTACTTTTTATTAGAAAGTCACTGCAAGCTTTGGAAAGGAGTGAAACCTGAAGAAATGATGATAGTTGGAAGAGCATTTCCACATTATCATTTGTTATCTCTGTTTTTCCTGTGTAAGCATAATCAAGAAAGGCTTTCACTGCCTTGGGTGATAGATTACTAATAGTAACATTGCCATCATCTCGTTCTTTCATATTAACTTCAAACATGGCTCTGTGGATAAAATAAAGAAGATATAAACACAAATTAAAGATCAAGCAAACAGCAGAGAACATTGGTGTGAGAGGAAGGAGACAATCGGGGTGTATAAGGCAGGCTGTATAGGTCTAAAATGTGACAGTTCTAAGTGAGCGCAATGCATGATTTGCTTGATATGGTTGAAGAAAAAAGGAGTGGTAATAAGAACATATTCAAAGTGATTGCTCAGAAAATGACAGGAGCACCTGTGGTTTGTATGGGTTTTCACAGTGTGGTGAAGTCTGCAGCTCTCTATGAGAGAAAAAGTGAAATTGTTTGGGCAGCATCAGTTTCAACAGCTTGAGAAAGAAAGGCTGATTTAAAAAATATATAGTAGAAAAGCCCCATGATTTAGGTCATGCACTGTAGATGAATACACGAAATTAAGCGAAAAAAGGCCTTCCAGATGCAGGCTGAGCAAATGGATGGATAGATGATGGGTGCATTCCTAAGTAATGAAAGTAGGTGAGGGTGAAACAGGAGGAAAAAATGTAAGGAGACTTAATTTTTGCTTTAGAGTTGACAGATAGATGTATGGATAAAGGGAGATGTCAAGAAAAAAATGCGGTTTTGACACAGGATTTCATGACACAGTGAAGCTTGTGCAGAAAGTAGATTATGACTGAATACAAGGTCGATGGTTGAAACAGTGGAACAAGCTATTGATCAGTAGATTTGTGCAAATTTTATTACAACTTTGATCATTACTAAATATAATAATAATAAATATTAGATAAATACTAATAATATTTATTTCACACAATCTAACATGACAAAATAATTAGTTTTTCAAGCCAGGAAGTGCTGGCAACAGAATCATGTTGCAACATCACTTGCCCTACCCTCTCAGAATCTAAGCATCACACTGGGATAGCAACAGCTTCTGAGTTTGACAAAGAATGAAAGTGGAGAAAGATTTAGATAAATCACCAAATACTAAGTGTATAATCTGGATTATTAATATATCATAGTTCCTATTAAAAAAGAAGTATTACAGTTCAGGTATACAATTAGTATTTGCATAGTATGTGATTTTTAAAATCCCATACTTTTATCAAGCTAAAGAGAAAAAAAAAAAATCACTTTGTATAGCATACTTTTTGGGAAGTGAACATTAGGTAAAGCATGAACTTGTCTGACCTCCTGAACAAGAACACAGAATTGCAATAAGATACTTTTGTCCCAAAGATCTTTGTGTGTACTAAATGAAAATCATTATTATATTTTCCTTATTAACCCAAGAGCTGTGATACACATCTCTAATTACAGCGTAAAATAGCAACTGAACAATTCTAGTAGAAGGAGAGCAATGTGGGCAGAGGCTTTGATTCCAAAAGCTAACAAGGAGGGAGCAAAATGTTGCTGAATCTTGGGTTTACACAATGAAAGCAAAACTAGGAGAAGTTCAAAGATCAAGGAAAACAAAGGCGTTTCATTTAAAAATGTATCTAGTGGACTTAGGTACTTTTTATTCCCTGAAGGTAATAGAGGGGCCTTGTATTCTAGGAGAATTCATGAATTTCTACCTTTCTACTGGAAAATTTCTTCCTTTACACCAGAGCATTTCTGTGCTGTCAAGCTGTAAACACTTGAAATGCTAGAAGTTGTGTGTCAGAGAAAAAAACAAATCTGCTGCTACAGTGGAGAAATAGCTTATTTCATTGGCATTTCTTCTTTTCTCAGAAGCCCTAAGAACACGTCTAGCCTGTATACTCTGCCGTATGTGACAGACTCCCACAGACTGTGGGATGCTCCAGGACATTTGAAAATAGCATTTGTCACCTGCGTATGGGCAACTTGAATCAACGTCATTAACTTATTTCTAGGAGCCCATTTTTTTTTATTGTTAGAGCATCTTAGCTTTGTGTTTTAGTAAACAGTGTATTTAGAAACAAACTTTCAGGGTGAAATCACAAGTTTGAGTCTTACTAAGGCTCTTCATAAATTGGTATATATGTGAATGGTCTGTCTGCCCCTTAAAAATGAATAACTTTAAGCACCAGAAGGAAGATCACAGATCCATTTCATGCTGAAAGGCTGGTATCTATAGTTTAGAAAAAATGTATGTTTAAATACCTCTTTTCAAACTATGAACAAAATACTGTGCTGACTACCCATCTTAGGCAAACAAAACCCAGCACCTTTCCAAACCACGTACCATTTATCCAAAATTGCTCAATGCAAGATGTACTTGTAATTAACCTGTTATGTTTCACAATACAAAAGTGTCAAAGTACATAGACTGTCACATACAAAGTCAAGCAATACCCTTGCAGACCTTTAAGGCAACAGGTACGTCTTAAAGGTACACAACTTATGTCAATTCTACCTAACAGCATAAACCATGAACTCATGGTTTAACATTTGTATTTCACAGTCTGAAGTACGTATGAATCTCAGATTCATAGAGTCCTTGTGTCACTTTGGAAATAAAACCAGACATATTTGGGGTATGGTTAGGCATCTAACACTTTTTTGTTGGTTTGGTTTTTTTTTCCCTATCCTTAAAATGTTTGAATGCTTTCCTCAAAACTCTGCAGACATATATATTCAGCTGATGATTTCTTTTTTATTTTTTGTAATTATATTCCTTCCTTCCCTTCCAGAGAATTAACAATCCATTTCCTGAAAACTCATGCCAAAATTAGGTTTACCTGAAAAAATCACTGCACGCTGCCAGTACACAACGATGACAAGGAATTATTTCATCTTTCACAAGAATTTTAAAGTCAAAAAATATATTTTGTTCTCTGAACTTTTGTAGTACTTTTAGAATTTGTTGTCCATGACCTTCAGCCACTAAGGAACTGATTTTATTTTCAGGAACAGAAATTCCATTGCAAATAGGTCTGCTAATGTAATCCCGTTGATTGGCCATGGTTTCTTCAATCTGTTCCTGAAACTGAAATGGAAAGATAAGTAGTTGATTTTACAGTCTATTTAAAAAAAAAAAATTAAAAATCAATATACCATAAACCAAACAAATTCCCAGCATTGAATTTGGCTTGTAAGTCCTATGCACAGTTATAAATTTGGGTTATAAGTTACTTTTACACTTAATTTAGTTAGATTTCATAATACTACTTCTACTTTGCAAAATATATACACATAGCATACTTTGAAAAGTAAAATAGCTGACATACATCAAAGAACAATTCTACAAATAGTACCCACCTGTAGGAATTTTTTCAATAAAGTCCACAGGAAGCACACCCAGGAATGTGTTAAAAGTTTTTAACGGTTATTGAAGAGAAAGACTAGTCCTAGGCTTACTCTCAAAAACCCCCAAACTCCTACAGTTTCATGAAAAATGAAGATGGAAATGAAATATTTGTTACATATTTTTAGATTCCAGAAGGTTCATCTGTATACTACAAACCCCCATGCTCAAAGCAGACCAATGGTCTTTCTACAGCTTACAGTGGAAAGGAGATACAGGCTACTATACTGCATTCTAAGTAAATTCCCATTAGGTACTCCAGACCAAAATAACAGAATACAAACACTGACAGCATGGCCTAATCATTGCTAGGGCTGACAAAACAGGCTCACTTAAAGATGCTTTGGTGACAGAGGAACTCTGAGTGTCCAGTCAATTGGTACTGAATTTATGTTTTACCTCTAGTCCTGCTAGGAAGCTGTAGGTTTGCCTATAGCTTATGCTGCACACAGTGAACTTCATTTACAGTGGCATAAACTAACTGGCTTCAGAACCATTTAAGACATTGCAACATCCCTTTCAGCAGACAAGTTTTTCTGGTGAAAATCCCTATCCTGAAGTGCATTGTTTGTATGGTAAGTTGGCCTTCTCTTATTTTTTTACAATAAAAAGATTTTACTCCACTCTGCAAACATAAAAAAAAAAAAAAAATAAAATAAACTTCAAATGTGAGCATATTTTTTTTTACACCTATTTAAATAAGTTTTTATACTCCTACAGATGCATTAACTGCCCTTACTGCAAATTTCAAGCTTGCCTATTTTAAAACTTAAGGAAACACCCAAAGCTTTTTCTATTGAAGGATTTTGCTTTCACAATTCCACTTAAAATTAGCAACAGATAATGGCCCACCTGAATTGACAAAGAAGGGGATAAAAATTTCCAAGGAAACCCAGAAACCAGAAAAATACTGGGTTTGGTTTTTAATTTCATGGAAAGGTTTATCTGTTAACATGATTCATTCAGAGGAAACTAAGCCATCAGGCAGTCTTCTTCACGGGAGGTACTTTCATAAGCAGACTGATCTATACTTTATCTAGTCAGGTTACTCCAATCACAAATAGACCTCCAGGTCTCCTGGAATAGAAGAGATCCATTGATCTTGCTGCCAGCACTGGCACCCTTGGAGCACGCATCTTCTCTTTCCCATGGCCCGACAATCTCACGTATTCACTCTTTCCATTCTAAGCCTGAGGAACTAGGAAATACAGAAGAACAAGACCACCATTTATTCTGATAATGTATGGCCTCATAAACCCAACTCCATAAATCATAAAGATCCATAAATCATAAAGTGTGTCAGAATTCTATAGAATACCCTTTTCTTATGAACTTAAAAGCCTGTTCCTCAAAAGGATTAATCTTCAAAAGCAGAGTTGTTTCAGTACAGTAAGTTTCCTGTATTTGAATGAACTTTAAAAAAAAGTGATTGAATTTCACAGTTTATTTGGCATCATGTAAAGTAACACTTCTAAAAGAAATTTAAACCTTTCACAAAATTCTGCAATTGATAATAGATAGTAGGTGGTTTTCTCCTTTTAAATGTAATTGCTTTAGCAAGCTTCAAGCTACAACTTGTTTTTTATTAGTAAAATTACCAATTTCAACTAATATTCTTCTTTGAACAATAAACACAGAAAAATGTCAAGTCCATCTCTGCTATTTTAGTCAAAGACATCATATAATCACTTTTATAAAAGCAATCTATGTTTCAGCGAGTTTTCTTGTATTACCACTATTTCCACAGAAAGACTATCCAGTACATTGGTGCCAAGACTGCAAAACTTTTAATTACACAATCAATTTATTAATGCTTACATAGATCTTTCTTCTGTCAAAACTGCATTTGACTTAATTTCCCTTTGTATATTTAGTCTGTATATTTTGTCACTTTTCTAATTATCAAGAGTGTTGATATCTTCAACTTTTATTAAAATGAACTGTCAAACTTTCTAAGATCCATTTATAAGACTGAATTTTTGTTTTCCTGATTATTTCTTGCAGTTTTCTCCCACTCATATGATTTCATTTTTCTTTCACAGATATCAGATTTGTTGTACAGCATTACAGTTGAGATCTCATGACTGTCTCACTACTCCAGTCTGCAGCTCATCCAATGCATTTAGTCCTAATCTGTAATAGCGGTGTCTTCTTATTTTTTGTTAAAAGCAAATTTCAGCAGTGTACCTCTAATTGTCCATCATTAAGGAAGATACTAATGAATACTGTGCTATGGCTTAGCCTAATTTACCCTCCACTCCATTAAAAAATAAATTTAAAAGAATTCAGTTCTCATCTCCCTTCTAGCCAACCCCTGTTTTCTCTGATATTTTTGGTACTAAGTTACCACTTTACTGGATCTGTTGATAATTTTGGAGCCTGCCAAAACATCTTAACAATTCAGTGAAAACTTGGTATGCTAAACAAGGCCAACAATCATTTATAATTATTTCATGCTAATTGTTTTTTTTTTCTTCTATAAAGCCATATGAATTAATCAATAGTTATATTTATAAATATTTGATCGAGTTGCTGACAAAAGGGTAGAAAACACAGTGGGTGCAGATGTATGTTGAGTAGGTCTGGATTTCAGGAAGGCTGGGGAATGACCCTGTTTGTATTTGCTTCACTTACTCCCATAGGATTCCACTTACAGTCTGTCTCTTATGTGGATTACCAAGAACCAAACTCCAGTGGATAGCTCACTGGAGTTGGGATTTCCTACTTTTGTTTCATAACATATGGCTGTGTGCCATACAGCATCTCATCATGTCAGGCAAAAGCTGTATTCCTAAGACCTTGTCCATCATCTGACCCACTTGGTGCCTGTCACACAACCAGCCTTCAAGCATCTGTAACATGACGCATCAGACCCTGTGTACTAGTGTATGTGACTGGGTATTTCCTGTGTGAGATCAGATGTGTTCTCTGATATGACCAAATTCAGGCAACCCTATCACTTGACAAAACTCTGCTCACATACTGAACGTTTATACATCTTATAGTGCTAAACCCCTGGTTAACTATTAGACTGGTTTAAAAAAAAACCCACACCAACACAAATCTCTAAACCCTCCCCCTTCCCCACCCCCTTAAAGTTAATGCATTTCCCCTATTTTTCTGCTTGAAAGTCATATCAAACAAGTGGCCCGCTGGCCATTATAGCTACAAGGTACACCGCACATAATACATGCTTGGGGAGATATGTATACCTCTCATAGCTATCTGTGCAGATCTCCATTTGAAGGACAAGGCATTTTGCACACTTGACAGTTAAGTGACAAGAAATGGCCAGCCTATGTAGGGCCATAAAGAAGCTAGCACTTGAAGAGAAGGCGCTTGGGGATGGTAAGCTAACTGTGGTCGTAACAGGGGATGAACAAGGGACCACCTGGGACATCTGAGAAGAAGAACATTCTTCTGGTCTACCACAAAGTCCATTAACAAGGACCCAGACCTCATTAGTTCTGCTGCTCACAAGACTCTTCTAACATTGTCCTTTTCCCTAGGTGATAAGGGATGGAGCAGCCTAGAACATAATGAGCTCATTGACCTAGATGCCAGGTAACCACACTGAAAAGTCTGGTAAGCACATAGTTGATAAATGAGACAAACACATTCCTTCTAGTAGTAACTGAGCTATTATTAAAAAGCTCCAAGAAAACGTTTATCTGACCTTAATACTTAGATACCAAACAGCTGCCAAAACCATTCACTGTATTTCTAGAGGAATTTTACTTCACCAATGCTAATACTCCCTTTCCAAAGACAGTTACAAGACATAATGTATTTATAAAGATTTTCTTTTGGCACCATCAACAGTTGGCACTATAAACAATCCTTCTTAGATGTACTTACAGTTTTGTGTGTGGATGAAGTTGAAATGTGTACTTTATTTGTTTATAGTTATCCTTATCCTTCAGAAAGTCCAGCAGCCCTTTTGAGTATCAAATTCATATTTGCTGAATCTTAGATACTACACTAAAAGACTGTAAACACAGCATACTGTTAAACATACAGGAATCCAAAAACATCCAGGACAGCCATTTTCAGAATATCTCAACAGGCACACACAAAAATCATAACCACTGCAATATGATTCCTAGAAATGGTGTTCACATCCATTCTACCAGATTTGAGACAACAAAGCAAACAGAAATGTGGAGGGAACTTTGAGCACAAACTTCTGTTGGTGCAGGGTCTATGGTAATTCTCACCAGAGCATCAATCAAAACATACCCGTATAAAGTACATATATTCCTAAACACTTTTGCTGAAAAGACTTTGCTAAACCAATAGTCAAAACAGCCCTAGTGCTACAACTGACAGATAAAATGGTTACGGAAGTTTAAATACGCTAATGAAGTTGAAAATGGTATTAGATGTGCAATTAAATCGAAGTGAATAACAGAGCAAAATTACTCAACAAGGAAGGGCAAGAGCCTGTGTAATAATGGAGCATGAACGTCCAGATGAGGACACAGGGTACAGAATGACACTGGAGAAGACTTACACCAAACTGTTTTGATCATTTTGTGATAGCAATAAAAAGATATATATACAAACATTTGTGACTTTGTAATAGCCACAGGGATGTAGTCTTGTGAAAGTACTGAGCGTGCCTTAGTATCGTGTGTAGGGAAGTTAGGATTTTGTCAGCAAAAGCATGATAGGGCCAAGCCTGCCTGCCAATAAACATGACCAAACCCTTTTAATGGGATTGAAGCCTGGGAGCGTTCCCAACACAACAGACACCAATCTCATATGAGGCATGTATGCATTCAAACAGCACAAGTAACATTCTGTGTGTACATGTTCTCTCCTCTATCAACACAGCTGGCAAAAACAGTCTAAACTCAACCTTTATTTGTACAGTACTTTACAATTGTAAGGCAATTACCTTTGTAACTTAATGTTCTCCCAACTTGAATAGTATAACTTACTAAGCAGCAGGATTTAAAAAAAAATAAATAGATCCTAAATGCTGGCATTTTACAGCATACTTTATGTGCCTAGGAAGAAAGAATTAAGAAGAAGGGAAGAAAGTCCAATGAAGATACAGAAATTGAATAGATTTCTTTAGAGAAGGTTTTAAGTTTTGTTTGTTTGTTTTTTTTTTCCCCCAAAAAAATGTAACTGTAGTTAATGCAAGTTTTGAAAAGGTCAAGATCAGCATTTAAAAAGTCTAATATTAAAACCAATTATTATAAAGTCTACTATATAGCCATCAAGATGATTTGCTATTTCCACTCTACCTATTCAAACGGGGGAGAAATTAGTAATTTATTAATAATTTTAAAGACACCACTCTCCACTACACATCTAATTTAAAAGCACCTAATTTAATACTCAGCAATATGAATATGAGTGGAACAGATATATAAAGGGTTTGGTGACAGTTTTAATTTGGTGACACTTTAAATTGCCAACTAAAAAGACAAGAGTGGATTGAAATATAATTAAAATATAAATACTGTCTTACGATTGAAAACAGACAGCAACAGAATTCCAGGTTCCTGTCTGTAAATTTCAATGCAACTGAATCCCACAGCTTTTTCATAAATAACTGAACTTCAAAGAAAATGAATATCCAGTCAATCATTTTTAGACAACCAGAAAAGATGCAATTGACATTTTGAGACATTTAATCCACAGAAGTGGCATTTATCAATAATACATGTGAGACAGTATTCTAAGAAGGAAAGGTGACACAGAGACTTTAAAGCTTTGAGTTCTTTAGAAGCAATTGAAAAAAAAACAACCCAAAACCAACCAAACAGCATGGAAAAAAACCCAGCATGGTACCAGTAGGAAGCAGTGAAACTGCTCCAATTCCTGGAAGCATCCCAAAAGTGAAAGATTTCCTCTTTGGAAACAGTGATCTTTAACTGCATATCTTCTCACAAACACATGAATCCATTAAGATAAAGAAAATAATCATTTAGGAGAACTCAAACTGACTGGAATTTATCCTAAAGCTGTATTTCTTGAATTCATCAACTTCCTTTGGAAATAATTTTCTTAGCTAAAAAAGTTCAAGAACTGTAATTTTAATTTTCAGGGGAAAAAGAATTAAACCACCATGCTGTACTTCTAATTCTGACAAAAATAATAATTGCACATTTGGGAAGAGTAAATTACTGCTTTTTACTGAGTTCTGTAGTCCGTCATTTCTGTATGTGATTAACTTGTGTTTTTTTTCAAAGCACACACACAATATTGAGCATACTTATAATTTAGCATAGGTTATTATCATAGCATGTTTTACTTGTAATAAAAATGATTTTATCTTGAATATATTCATAATTACGTATTGCACAGTACATCTTGAATCTCAGTTTGCACTCACACATGATGTACATTAAAAAATCTGCTAGTGAAAAAACTGCTACATGCTTACAGTCTCTCTAAGTAGAAAGAACGGACAAGTCAAATCTATTAATAAAACCTGAGGGTTTTTCTAAAACTAGGTAAGATCCACATTGTATTAGTGTTATCACATATCAGTAACTAAATATGTACATGGCCACAGTTTCCTCTTCAAAGTGTGCAGGATACAATGCTTGAAACTTAAGCCTCAGCTACAGTTTGATAGCAGTGAATAACATTTTCCTGGGGGTTCGCTGGTTGGGTTGAGATTTTGTGTTGATTGTGCCAAATCCTCTCCTTCTGCCAGTCTACTTAGTCTCTGTCTTTGGGTTATGCATAAGAGAGTAGGTACACATCCCTTGCTTGACCAAGTCATAAAGCAAAATGGGAGCCATATTTAAAAATAAGTGAATTACACTTCTGATTCCTTGCTGCAACATTTATTTTTTTCCCCCAAATGTTGCTTTTGTGTTCAAAATACTTTGCAAACACCAACTTATGCTCAGTAAGACTTATTTTAGTCTCAAAGACAGCAGTTCTGGCTTATGTGGAAATAGTGCTTTTTCACATTTAGGAGCTGGGAATGCTAAAAAAAAAAACAAACAACAAACAAAACCCCCCAAAACCCCAAACAACAAAAACTACAAAACAAAAAAATAAAAATTCTAAGAAATACCTGAAAATGTAATTTCTGGTATTTCTGAGTTATCCATATGCAGTCAATGTAGAATATTTAAAAAATTAAGTATTTCTAAACACAAACAACAAAAAGAAGGGTCATAAATTTTAAAACAGGCCCTAAATTTTTAGCTTCAAAACCAAAGGATAAACAAAATCACTGTCTTTTTGATGACTTACACATGGCCTGCAAGAGCACGGCAAAACCCAGTTCTGACAACCACTACAGCCCTTAGCAAAATCAAAAGCACAGGATACAGGCGGCTTTTGTTTGGACACACACTTTAGAAGCCAGAACCACGCTGGGGCGATGCAGTGTATCTGCTGTGTGAACAACTGGCTCCTTTAGACAACACCCAGCAGTACGAGCAGGAGGACACGGGCCGCCCCGGCCCGGTTATGCAGGAGCATGGATGGACGCCCAGCAAAGATGAGGCCAGCGGCACCGGGGAGGGGGGCATCGTCAGCCGTTAACCAGTAACGGTGCTATAAAGAAACCCCGACGGACGCTATCACCGAAGGCATAAACACGGCCCTGACTCGCACAAAGCCGGGGCAGCCAGGAGCGACAAGGCAATCACACTCCGCAATAAGGCCCCGGCCGTCAGCAGCAGCCACTTGGACAGCGCCCGCCACCATCAACTCCACCCCTCGCCCCGCCCCCAGAGGGAGGCCGGGGGCCTCAGCCCCGCTACTGCGCATGCCCAGCAGCCCGCGCTTGCGCCCTGCGGCGGCTCCATTTATTCTAAGGACGGACTAATCCTGGGGGGCAGAGTAGGACGAGGCAACGGGCTGCCCTCCTCCCGCAGGGCCCGGGCCCGGGACGTGGAGGTGCCCAGCGCTGCCGCCTCCCCGCAACCGAGCTAGTACCCCTTAGCACTCCCTCCGAGCAGCGCGCACCCACCTGCAGCCAACACCAGCAGCTCACCGACCGCTCTGGCCCACCCTCCGCAGCAGCAGCGCCAGCAGATTGGCTGCTTCCGGTGTCATTTTCCCGCTTCTTGAGCTCGGAATGGTTCCCTCGGCCGTCAATCCGAGTGAAAGCCCGCCCACCCTCCGGAGCGGGTTCCTCTCTGACGACTGCGCGGGTGCAGCTCAGCCGCAGGCTCCGCCTTTCTCCTGATACGCCGGTACCTGGCGCATTCCCCGTCGCTAACGGGGCGCATGGGTACCGCGTTGGCAGCCGTCCCGCGGCACCGAGTCCCGCCCCCCACTGATTCCTGCGCGCACGGTTTGGGCCGGGGGGTCACGGCGGCCCTAAAGCGGTGAAGGGAAGCGGGAGGGCAGCGCTGCTGTCTGACGGCGTTGGGGAGCGTGGCCCGCCCGGCCCTGTCGATTTGCGGTGTCCATGGGCAGCGTGCGTTGGGCCTTCCCCTGCGCCGCCTGGCGCCCCTGCCGCCAGGAGTGGCTGCTGGCGGCGCGGCTGGTGCAGCCCGAGGAGAAGGACCGCATCGGCCAGTTTGTCTTTGCCCGCGATGCCAAAGCCGCCTTGGTACATGCTGGAGGGGGGACACGGCGCGGGGCGGGTTCTCCTCCTCAGGGCTGGCGGCGTTCGTCCATGGGCGGGATGCAAAGCGTCCGGGGCCCTCCGCTTTGTTCTGTCCCGCTGCTGCGAGCGCTGTTCGCGGGGGTGTAGCGGCGGCTGCCCGGGACCACTCCGCTGGGAGCCGTCTCTGGGAGCCGTGGCCCGGGCCTCTTTCTCCTGGGGACGCGGTTGTCTCAGTGAATTCAGTACTTCTCTAAGGAAAATACACCCTGCAAGGCCATTTCAGGGCTGAAACTGCTTTACAGAGAATTAATTGTCAGTTCTGCTTACACTTTCACTTAGGAGGAAAAGGGGACGTTTGCAGTCTGCTAGTTAACTCTGAAAGACTTTACAAGGTTTATGTCATGATACTAAGTTAGGAGACAAAACCGGTGTAGTAGGAGACATACATGAAGACAGTAGTGTAATGTTTAAGAAAGTAAAGCTGTTTTACATAATTCAGGTTTTAAATCTCACATAGCAGTGTGGCAGTAATACAGACTAATGCTGCTTATCTGTACGAAATTCCGTGTCACTTTCAGCTGTTGAGCATTTCATTTAGTGCCAAAATGACTTCACGAATGTACTGAAAGCTGTTGAGACAGTTTTACTGTTCAGTGTGGTATAAAAAGTATTCATCTGTGCAATAAAGTATCCTAAATAAGCTTGAGAAGGAACTATTTTACGTCTTCTAGGCTGGGATAGCTTTTTCGTGGGTTGTCTCTGTCCTAATAGTGATAACAGATGTATTCTGTACTTAGTCTTGTGAACTCTTTTTGTTAAATTTACTTGGTGTGCAGGCTTTTATAAAAGAAATCTAAATGGTTGGGCAAAAATATACTCTTAATTTCTGTCAGGAATAATAAAGCTACTTATAAAGTGTTTTTTTCTAGCAACCACAGATATTTTGCAGGTAGCATAATAGTTCCATATGAATTGCTTCTGTTTTATTTCATAGGCTGGTCGCCTGCTGATGCGGAAATTAATTGCAGAGAAGTTGTGCATACCTTGGAATGAAATACACTTGCAAAGGACATCGAAAGGAAAACCTTTCCTGGCAAATAACGTACTCAGTATCTATTCGAATTACAACTTCAATGTCTCTCATCAAGGAGATTATGCAGTTCTTGCAGCTGAGCCTGAGCTTCAAGTTGGCATTGATATTATGAAGACTAATTTGCCAGGTAATGCGTTATGGTGACCAAAGTGGATTCTCTAGGCTTAAGTGCTGAATACTTTAATGTTTCCCAAAGAACCAATCTGTGTCCTAGGAATATAGTGTAATTAGAAGAGAGAGTATGAACATACTGTATATTTGCTATTTTAATTATTAAATGCACTCCTCATAGATTATTTTGGATTTTCTGTTACACCAGATAGGGCTATATTACCAGTTTAGGAAAGCAAAATCCTGGAAAAATAAAGTCATGTATCCTGCTATGATACTGGCAAGATTGGCATCCGCAGCTATTTTAATTACAGGTTTGGTGTCTGTTAGGTAGAAGCAGGGACAGCTTTCCAACTAGGGACAGTGGGACCAATCCCCATGAAAATTTATAATCTCTTGAGTGTTACTCCTTCGTCCCATAAGCGTGGAAATTGTATGTGTCAGCACAAGGCCCAGTACTGTAAGCAGACTGGCATCGGAGATTTGTTGTCACTGTGTATAGTAATCCCCAGTGAGAGGAGATCATGAGGAGGAAACATCTGAGGTGCCCCTGCTAAAAGACTAAACTTCGCTAACTAGCTGTTGGCCTGTTTACTTGTATGAAATGTTTCACTAACCTGACTTTATTAGTGAGTTTCAGGACTCGAATCATAAATCAGAGTTGTAGCAAAGTGTATTTTTAAATACAGTGTTATGGAGATCATTTAGTTCACAAATATTCATCAGTGTACGGCTGGTTTAAACAAGAAACATACTGGGATTTACAATTTACTGGAATTTTAGTTTTTGAGACTCTTCCACAAATGTTTAACCACATATGACCATAATAGCTGTGTTCTTAGAAAATCTCTCTTCACAATATTAAATTTCCCAGCATTTTATGCTGTGAAGTAATTTGTGTAGTAAGGTAAAGATTCAAATAAACCTTGACAGGATAACTTCCTTACTGTAGTCTAATCATCTGTGACTCATTTCCATCTGCTGTAGACCCTCAGTCTAAAGGTGGTGGTCAGCATGTGAGGCTGCATGTAGCCAGTGGATGACTCCATATCAGAGCAATTGTATATTTTGTGGCAGGAGCTGTGGCCTGTGGGTGAGGCTATGCTGGAACAGGTACACCCCTGAAGGGATTGCAGTAATGCAGGGCCCAAATACCAGGTTAAGCTCGAGGCTGGTTCTTATCATGCCTCTCCCAAGCAAAACAAAACAAAGTGATGTCCCAGCTGTTTCTTCTCCTGTTGTCTTGCACACCCTCAGCCTATTTGCTGATGGAGAAGGCCTTGATGCCATGCAAACATTGCTGATACTTGTGTGGCCTCAGCACTGTTCTAGGCAAAGATTTAAAACCCAGTGCCGTGCAGGCTGCTATGTTAAAAATTAACACCCAGGCCCAGTACCCTGGAAACACTTTGGGCTTGCCGAAGGCCTTACGCCAAGACTCCATAATCATAGAATCATAGAATACCTAGGGTTGGAAAGGACCTTAAGATCATCTAGTTCCAACCCCCCTGCCATGGGCAGGGACACCTCACACTAAACCATCTCACCCAAGGCTTCATCCAACCTGGCCTTGAACACTGCCAGGGATGGAGCATTCACAACCTCCCTGGGCAACCCATTCCAGTGCCTTACCACCCTAACAGGAAAGAATTTCTTCCTTATATCCAGTCTAAACTTCCCCTGTTCAGGTTTTAACCTGTTGCCCCTTGTCCTATCACTACAGTCTCCAGCATCCCTATAGGCCCCCTTCAGGTACTGGAAGGCTGCTATGAGGTCTCCACGCAGCCTTCTCTTCTCCAGGCTGAACAGCCCCAACTTTCTCAGCCTGTCTGCATACAGGAGGTGCTCCAGTCCGCTGATCATCCTCGTGGCCCTCCTCTGGACTTGTTCCAACAGTTCCATGTCCTTTTTATGTTGACACCAGAACTGCACACAATATTCCAAATGAGGTCTCGCGAGAGCAGAGTAGAGGGGCAGGATCACCTCCTTCAACCTGCTGGTCACGCTCCTTTTGATGCAGCCCAGGATATGGCTGGTTTTCTGGGCTGCAAGCACACACTGCTGGCTCATGTTCATTTTCTCATCAACCAACACCCTCAAGTCCTCCCCGTGGAGAAGGACTCAATTACTCAATTTAAAAAGCTTTCCTGTTTCAGTAGATAAATAGTGAAAATCAAAAACTTCAAATGTTTGTATTTTAAGTATTTCTTGGGAAATGAAAAATGTAAAGTCACTTATATATGAGGTAGGGGTAGCTCATCTTCTGCTCTCATTTTATGCACCTGGAACTGTAGCTGGCAGTTTAGACACATTGCCTATATCCAGCTGACAAGTCTTACGAAGTGTGTTACACTCTACTACTGAAAGTAGGAAACAATTGTGAAGAGTAGAGGTTTAATTTTATGTTTAGGTTTAGAATCCTGATTTTTTTTATTGCTTCTCCATTCTCTCTCTTGTATTCTTCTCCATTCCATAATGCATTCAACTTTGTAAGGGGACGTATTCTTAGTTCTTTGCCAATTAATAGAGAAGAAAATCTTTTAATTTCAGTATTAGCTGGCTTTATTTAAAAAATATAATTTCTATGTCTTCTTTTTTCTTGTTTTTTTTTTTTTTACTTATTTATTCTTTATTCCTTTCTCATTTCTCTCATGTGAAATTAAATATTGAATAACTCAAATATCCATTGATCTACTGCTTATTCTACTGGCAGCATCAGAACAGATCAAGGTTTTTCCACCTTGTGCCTGTGTGTACTCTTCATTCAGTGTCCCTAGTCACTGCTGTTGTAGAAGGTGTAGAATCAAAGTTAGGCTGTTGGTATATGTGTCAACTTTAGCAGGCTAAGTTTAGGAAAATGCTCTTGAGTTCATCCTATCAATCAAGTTTTGATTGCTATTCTTGCTTCTGTCGTGGCTTTTTAGTTGCCTGTCCTAGGATTTCCAAATAACAACATGGATCTGAAGAAATAGCTGTCGTAAGTGTCAGCATCTGGTCATGCAATTCTTTTCCACATTATGTATTTTAAATAAATATTTATAGATTAAACAGTTCCAGGTTCCAGATTTTAAAGAGGGTTTGTTTATGTCTATACGCATTCCTTTTTGGAATTATAATTAGTATTTTTGGAAATAAGTAGAATAGTAATAAAAATTAGTAATTTTATGTGGGAAAATGAGTCAGCAAATTAACAATATTAAGGATAGAATTTTAAATTACTATAGTCTTTGTAATATGAACTAAAGCTAGCAGTATTTTCACCTATTTTTTTTTTTTTTTTTTTTTGAGAAAGATTTTTGTCTTAGTAAAATTACCTGGAACTCTTTACTGCTGTGCTATGAATATGAGAGTGACTTTATCAATATTGTTTTATCTGATAGTTCCACTGAGTGGTGCTCTTGCTCTGCAGTTTCTGAGTATATTATATTTTTGAGAGTGAGTCCACTATAAATCTTTCTCTGGAATAGCCACAAGGACAAAGAGTTCCCTCTGCACAGAGTACATTACAGTAGATCTGTTTTGTTTTGTTTTCAGATGCTTGTTTAAATACACTTCATCTTGTGATGTTCTCCAACAGAATCTTGATTGAGGTTTCTAATATTCTAGTTCTTACGCTCCTTTATCATTCAGCCAGTGAACAAAATATGCAGTGCAAATATACAGGAAGTATCATGCAGCTGGAAGTTTTGAGAAATAGGTTATTAAATTGTGTGTTAGCAAGTGCCAAGGAGACCTGCACATAAGCATTTTACACTACTTCTTAATCTGTGCTGCCTATTTTTGTTGTACTTAGGTATAATAAGAAGCCATCTCTTTTCATATAACTTTTGCTGCATTATTAAAATCTGAAAAATGAAATTACTGTAAGACATAGCCTTCCTCATAGGTTAAGGCAGACCACACAAGAAGCTATTCTTAGCAGTGCAAATAGAGACAGTTCTACAAAAGTTCCAGAGGTATGTAACAGTTTGTCACCATTTTTCTCTCTATTCAGATATTGAACTAAATAATGTAGTGATGATGGAAAAGGAAGATGTCCTCTTTAGGTATTGTGTGTTGTTGCCTTGTGGTTGTCTGGCAGGTTAGTTTTGTAAATTTAAATCAGGCTTTCAATTTACCTGGTTTTGAAGAATTACTGAGATCAATGGTTTTGGGTTTTTGTTTGGGGTTTTTTGGTTTGGGTTTTTTTTTTTCTAGTTTAAGAGGAACTCTTGAATCACTTGGGAAAATGCACACTGCATTGTAAATTTGTTAATGAAGTTATTGTGGACATAATTTGGCAGGAGATGTAATGCATATGAAATTATTTTAACCCATTGAGAAAGGAGATGAGAAGGATTCTCGTAGTACTATTAACTCCAGTGGGGAAAACTCAGTTTGTGGCAATGTATTCAACCTGTAACTTATGGACAAGCAATTTTACAACCTGTCAAATTGGTTTGAATAGTGTGTGGGATGTGATTTGCCAGTCACTTAAACCCTGTAAAGGTGGACATTTTTAGAGACTTAGGAAATAATTATAGCTTAATAAAGATTGCTGTGAAAATTTAAAAAAAAAAAAACAACAAAATTTAGGTCTTAAGTTCAAGAGTGAGTTTCTTTACAGTAATGAATTTTTTTAACTTAGAGGGAATTAGAAAAGCCAAGTAAATCAGTAGTTCATTCCTGATCTTTCGTAATCAGCAATCTTTCTTACCTATTGCATTACAGTTGCTTTGATCCAGTCATCTCCACTCTCAATGTAATTCCATAATTAAATACTTTACATGCAATAAAATTAGCTTTTCTCATTAGTCTTTTGGGTTTATGCTAGGTTTGTTTATTAAAAGACACAAAAGGGTAAACTTTCTGCATGTGAATTTTACAGAAAATTAGTTTGATCTAAAAATAGTTCCCAGGATGCTTTTTTAAGAAAGTAGGTTATTATGTACAAACACTGGCTTCTCTGAAAAATATTTGTTTCAGTTTTGGGTTTTGTTTGTGGGGGTTTTTGTTTTGCTTGTTTGATGTTGGGGG